ATTACTATAATATTTTGATGTATTAAAATTTTTTTCTATGTTTTTGTTATTTTTATGAGCCACTGAATAACGTGGGTTGTAATAATAATGTGGAAATATAATTCCACAATTAAAACATTAAGAAAATTAGGTTAATATATTATGAATATTTATATAATAATTAAATTTATATACAATTTGTTTAAAAGGTAATTTTATAAGATCGATATAAAAATAATAGGTTTATTGTGTTTATAAATATCTGTATAATTTAGTATAGATATGTGTTCTATAAATTTTATATAATATATCCTTGATAATTGAATGATATACAATAAAGTTTTTAATTCATTTTATTACTTTTTTTTAGTTGTGACGTTTCTCTAATTTTTCATTGTTATATACATTTGGTTTTAGAGAAATAAAATAGACATTAATATATTATTTAACACATGATGTCACATAAATACAAATAAAGAATTAGGCATTATTAAAATTATACTTTAAAAACATTAATATGAGTATCCAAACTTTATCTATGGTGAAGTTATAGTAAAATACAGTATTTTTTTAATAGTATAAAAAAATATATAAATATATATAAAAATGACAAATAAATGAATACGGAAATAAAAAGTGAAATGTTTTCATCTGTAGTTTCTGTTAGCAAAAATTTGTTTGATAAATACATAATCACTGGTAAAGAAAAATTAATAAAGAGATTTCTAAATAATTACATTAAATATAATTTTTTACAAGTACAATAGTAATTCATAATATTATCTATTTAACTGAACTGAATGTTTTTTTTTTTTTTTTACAATAAAAATCAATACATTTAAAGACATTAAATTTAATGGGATTATGTTTCTTATTTAATTCCGTGCTCTTTATTTCGCACATTTTGTTTTCTTTTAATTATTCATTTATTGAATACTTGTCTATTTTGTAGTTTCATATTAATCGTGTCCCTTTTTAATTGAATGACCTACATGATTTTGTTTAATATCATATTACTTATTATAATTATACTAGAAGACATGGCAAAAAGCATATTATTTATATTATAATAAAAGTTAATTTAAAAAAAAAAAAAACTCATAAATGATAAATTAGTAAAAAATTTTAATTTGAGTTATTAAATTCGTTCATTGCCATTGTAATAATGAAAAATAAGAATTAAAAACATAAGAGTTATAATTTTAGTAAAAAGACAGAAAATAAAATTTCCTCTGATTATATTTTTATTTAGTTCAATGATGTATTTAGTTACGAAAGAACATCTATATTTTTATTATATCAGTAATAAAAGATATATTTTGATTATTATACATATATTTCTAATTAATTCTCTTCCTTTTTTTTAACATGTGAATTTATTAAAAATTGAACAGAAGAAACAATGTTCCATAGAAAATTATATGGCTATTTTAGAAATATTTCTTCCCTATATGATGATGTTATACTTCAAAATAGTTTAATAAATACTTTAAATATGTAAATTTTTACTTTAATTTAAATGATGGACGTTTGTAATTATGTGTATACATAAAATGCAAAAAGTAATGGAATCACGTTACTAGTAAGGCTATTTTCAGTAGGCTGGAATTGTGGATTATAAGGGGTATAAATAAACATGCAACTGTACTGTAAAGTTGCAATTAGAATCATAATAATTTTTTTAATTTTTTATTTTTAAATTTTAAACGTTATAAGTTATTTTAGATAATTGATCTTTTTAGGGAGTTTTTTCTACTTTATGAAGGAATATTATAATACAGTATAACAAGAGTACACAAGATAATTTTTCTTATAAAACAAAAATGTATTATAAATAGCAGATATATGTGCGTTACAATATAATATATACAACTATAAAAAGAGTGAAATGCATATAAATCATAATTATTGAATTGAAATTATATATTTAAAACACAATGGCCACGTCAGAGCAGCGTGTGGTTTACTATTGTTTAAACATAACACATTGTACGTTAAATAAACTTTTATATTACTGTTTAAGGAATATGAAAATGTTTGAAATGTCAAATTTTTATATTATCTATAAAAATAAATATATTAATTAAAAATGATACAATGCAGTAGTGAAAGTAGGATAAGTTTATAAATATAAATGTCGTTTCAATAATCATTAGTTCTCAATTTTATAAAATAAATAAAAGAGCGCATATATAAATTAATTATAAGGTATCATATTATATATCATGAAATAAAATATTTTAATTATATTTTACTTATATTATTTATTTAGTTTATTATGTATTTATGATATGTAAACTTTATATTAAACAGCGTTTTATTATTAAATACTTTAAATTTTTATAATTATTTTTTTAAAATAAAAATAAGATTATTCTACATAGTACATATAATTATTATACGCTAGAAATACATAATTTAATGTTTTAAAATGTGTATCCATTGCTTAAATTGTATTGGACCATAACTTAATGATGGTGATCAAAATATTAAAATTATAAAAACCTTTTTGTATTTCACTTAAGCACTTATATAATAAAAATAGAAACATTTGTTCTAAATTAATTATAAACTTGTTTAAATTTAAAAGAAATCTTGTAAAATATTTAAGGCATATATAACGTTTATATATTTTATTTATGTTAAGAACATGCATACAAATATACTTTATCTTAAAATTTTCTGCATATTCTTTGCAATAATATAGTTAGAAGATTATTATTGTTCAAATATTTATATTTTTTTAATAGAATTCCATGTAATAGGACAATTCATTATAACGAGATATAATATTTACATAGAGTAAAAATAAATGAATCGGTGTATACATATAAAATAATACAAAAGTATCATTTATTAGGTTATTTAAAAAAATGGATAACATTTTATATCAAAAAAAAAGGTACCTATGCATAAAGTAAAATTATGTTCAAAAATAGTAATGCATAAACGACGAATATATATAAGATAATTTAATTTTGTATAATAATCAAGGAACAAAATATATCAATGTTTATACTCCTAAACTGGTGTAATTGTGATCTGCGCCACTATTACACCATTAAATCGTTTTCTTTTTTGACACAATGAATCATAACAAATAATAGATATAATAACTGAAAACACTATATATAAATAATTAATTAAATAACAACTATTTTACATTTAAACATGTGTGAATATTAAATTATCTTAAATATAATCAAATAAACTTGTGCTATATAAAGGAACCATGCTTAAAGCACATATGCTCTAAACATAATAAAGAATAAATAGGTAATTATTATACCAAACTACAAGGAATATAAAATGGATGTCAAGAATTGTATATATATTACATTAAATTGTTCATATATATTGTTAGTTGAGTTCTGGAATAGTTTATCTATATTATAAGAACAAATGTTAAATGACAAATATTGCATTTAATAAAACACTAGGAAATGCCAAAAATTCATATGCGATACACATAAAAAAAACTTTAAAAGTAAAAACAAGGATATAAATGTAAGAAATATAATACAAATTATAAAACATTAATAACTAAGTAAAAGTCCTTAAAATCTAAAATATAACATATTCAACCATAAACCAAAGTCTTAAACATATACAATAAAAATTAAAATAAAGGACATCAATCACTATACTTAAGTCTATGCTCTTAAGTATCCAAAATAAACATATGCTAGATAAACAATTAAAAAAAGTTTTAAACAAATATATTTTTATTTCTAGTATAACAACTATTCAATTATTGATTAAGTAAGATAAGAAAAACATTCCTTGTTGGATGTAAAATATAACAAAAATGTTAAAAAAAAATTTTTTTTTTTTTTTTTTTATATTATATGGCTCCTGAAAATGCTGAAATTAATTTTATAATATTATTAAATGCAACTTTGCTTTTCAATATTTTTTATTTTTTTTTTTTTAATGTATATAAAACATGTATATTTTTAGTATTTGTACTAAAAGGTATAACATTGTGCTTAAGGATAATCCTTTAATATTTTTTAGCATAAAACTAAGAAAATATTTTTGACCATTCTCCATATGAAATTACTTATGAGACGGGATTTTGTAGGGGAATTCTTATATTTTTTCTATTTTGTAAGGTTCTTTAAGTACGTTAGAATTAAACACACATAAATGCTCTTAAAAACATATGTATAATGGAATACATATTTACTTTGTAAAAATACTTTGAAATACTTAAATGTTTTCCAATTTATTCTTTTTTCATAACTTTATAGATGTTAACTATTTTCGGGGAATGTAACAAATAATCTTAGATAAGGAAAATTTTCAATTTTTTTTGCATACATGTATTTCTTCCCACAATAAAAAAATTTACATGCACCTTATATATATAGGTTCACATTGATAAGATGCATTCAAATTTATTAATTTAATGATTTAATAATTATATAAATATGTCAATTTTGGAAAAATTATTTTCAATAAGTATTCATCTATATTTTTAATTTTATTTTCTCCAGTGCTCAAAGGCATATCATAATCTCTATATTCCCCCTCTAGTACCTTCCCGTATTTTTTTATTTATAAATTTTTGATTGTATCGTTTTAGAAGTGATATGTATATTTTCATGTTTTAGTAAATACTTATAATAATTATGGGATACATTAATATTATTCCTTATTTAGTTGCAAGTTTTCTGGATTTTTCAAACTTATGGAATAGTTCAAAGTATTTTTTTGGTTCTACAGTTATATATTTTTTAATTATTTTATATAAATAAACACAGGGGTAATCTTATGGGCAGTGTTTTTATAACACTTTTATTTTTAATATAAAATATTTATGAAAATCATTGTTATGTCACATTTTCACTATTAGATTCTATCCACATAGTTTAATTTATTATATTTACATCATTTTTTTTGAATAAATTTTTATATATTTATGGAAACTATTTAAACATAAATCTGTTTAACTGTTTTATTTTACTCTGGAAGGAACTGAACTAAACTTTTGTGATCATATATTTTAAACTGCTTGATTAAAAACTTTGATATTGTAGAATATATGAGCTATCCTGTGAATTGTCACTTTGTAATGAATCTGTATCCCCAATTAATAATACATCTTCATGGAAATCATTATTCCAAGTTTTTTTCTTATTTTTCCTTTGGTGCGCATCATGGGTTTTCTGAGAGTAGAAATATAATAAACAAAAAAAACAAAAATTAAAACAATAGTAAAAAAAAAAAAAGTAATAAAATGCATGCATATATTTTATATTAACATATTTTTAATAACAAATTACTAGTGTTGAAGTAATGTATAGATGTTTTTTAAAGGGATATATTTACTTTATATAATAATAAAAAGGCCAATAATTGCCCTAAAGTAAAAACAATTAAAATAATTAAAAAATGATTTGTAGGAGAATTTTTGCTTTCCTTTGTAACTTGATCTTGAACATAGGGTTCACTAATGGGAAGAGGAGCAACTACAGATGTTTCAACTTTCTTAGGTGCTCTATATTTTACATCTACGCGTTGTGGTTGTGTTTGTGCACTTAGGGATATCTTTATAACTTTCTGGTAACAAGGATACATCATTATTTTCCAAAATACGTCAGTCCATTTTAAATACTTTCCTATATTTTTTGGATCATATTCTTCATAATTGTCAATATATTTATTGCATATATTAGTCTCAGGATTAGTACAAAAGCTTTTGTTTGCATAATACATTGGGATAATTCGATTAAGATATCCTATATTTTTTTCACATGCGGAAGAGGTACGATAAATAGCTTCTACTAAATTTGTTTTATAATCTTCCACATAATCAAAAAGTTCCTTAAATTGCTTTAGAACCTCCATGTCCATTAAAGTTGAATCAGGCATACATATATTAGACTTATATATTAATCCATTATTTATATCTTTCCATACAATATGGATTTTGTCAATAATGTCATAAAAATCAGGATGATCTTCTTTAATATTAAGTTTATTAGATACTTCTTCAAGTAACCAATAATTCAAGTCATAACAACGTTTTTTATTTATGAGATCTGATTGAGGCTTAATGTCCATACTATCTAAATTTCTTTTAAGTTTGTCACAAATATCCTTAACCTTAGGATATTGTAATATTAAATCTTTTATTTTTTCCCATTGTTGTTCAACTTTAACAGTTACTTCAGAATTTAATTCTTCGTAAAATGCCTTTGAAGGTAGTACCATATAAGACTTCGAAGCCTTCAAATTTGCAAAAAAAATTGAAATATATAAGTGGATTTATATATTGTGAAAAAATAAGTCATTAATTTTAATGATTAATAAAATATTAACTTATAGCATTAGCATAAAATTATTTCCAAAAAAATAGAAATATACTTTGCTCTCTGTCATTTGTGATTGCCTCTATTTAATCATGTAATATAAGAATTATATAATAAGTAACGAAATGTTATATATAATATTAATTTTTCACTTATATAAGGAATAAAAGCAGAATGAACCTTTCCATTTAAGTGGATTAGGATTATGTATAGAGTTTAATGCTCAAACTGTGTGTGTTCAGGATTTAGAATACATGATTTAGGTGTGAAAGGATCAGACTTCATAGTTCAATGTATTTTATATATAATATAATTAATAATTCATAACAACTTAATATGTATAATTTACATTTAAATATAATTTAGCAAATTCCGATGAATAATGCATATCTATAATTTAAAAAGGCTATTTAAATGTCATTATGGTATAATACGATTTGACATTACAATCCTATATATATATATATATGCATTTTGTTCTATGTAACTTTAATATATATATTAAGAATGTATTTGTTTTATGTTAAAAATAATATTTTAAATGAATTGGGATTATTATAGTTTCACACACATATAAATGTAATTCGGAAATGGTTACTATTTATTATATACTATGTTTTTGCAAATGTTGTAATTTGCAGTATATTTTTATATTTTTGAATATTAGTATATACACTTAATGAAATAATAACAATATGATTGTAAAACATTAATTTTACAACATAATAAATTCATTTATGCTATTAATTGCATATGTTTGATTACAAACTACCTTTTGACTTTTACATACTTTTTTTTTTTTTTTTTCTTGGGTGTTATTTAATTAAGATAATAATTATTCATTTCTAGGAATGAAGATTTTTATATGAGGAAAAAATTATACCTAATTTTATATATTCCATTACGTAAATAAAAACAACAATTATGAGAGATACACACAATACTGAAATCTAGGTTTGTATTATAACATACATTATTACATCATGTTTATTTCATATTCTACATGTATTGATAATTTAATACTGAAAAAAATAATATATACAAGATATACAACAAATAAAAATGTTACAGAGCAAGAAATGATAATTTACATGAAAAGTATTATATCTTTATTGAAATAATTTTTTTGAGGTAACAATTTATTCTATATAGTGTATTTTAAACATTATTCAATAATATCACAGTTAGATCAATAAAAATTACTTTAGTAATTAAGTATAGTGTGTATTCATTCTAAAAATCATATTTGTTTCACAAAAAACAGATTTATAGCATAATCGTTACGTTATTCGTTGTTGTAAAATTTGTTCATTGGAACTCTTTATACATGACATATTTTTTTAAATGCTGCCTTTATCATAATTATAATATATATATATATTAAGTGTATTTTTTTTTTTTTTTTTTTTAAATTCACATTATTGCAAATATACTAAATTATAAAAATTTATAACGATTAAAATTAATTTATTATAGGTTTATGGGTTAGGTTCCCCTTTTTTATGACTCATAATAACGGCTGATATATTCGTTTTTTGTGTGCATAATCTAATGTACGCATTCAGGGTTCTACGTTTTCTGTAATTTTTAACTACTTTTTTTATTTATATATAATACATTATATAACATTATAATCAAGAATCATATTAAGTTTAATCTCATTTAAATATAATATATAGAATATATTAATTGCTTAATACAAGCCTTAAAATGATACTGTGTCTGTACCATAATTTAATGTTTTAAATGCAGATTTATATATAATATTACATTTGTTTTTTCTATGTTATATAGATTTCCTTTTATAAAAGTTTTTTTAAAGAACAACTGGAACAATTTTATTTTTACACATATTTAATTGTAATATTTAAATTATAACTATCCATCATATATTACATTTTCATTTTTATTACATTCCATGCTTGTTATTACTTTTATTTTCAAATAATATATAATGCATTAGTTATAAATTGTCAATTTTAAAGTGTAACGGAAATATCTGTTTATGTTATTGTAGGTTATTTAGAAGTTTTTTTCCTTTTAACTTTTGATAAACTTTTTATGTTTTATTTTTTGTTTCTTACTTTTAGTTTCATAGAACATGTCTTGTACAAGCTTTTCCATAGATACTTTGTTCTACATTATGAAATGTATCGTTGTTTGCTAGTTTTGTATTAAAACGTGTATTCCCTTTGATGTGTATCTAAACACATGAGGGGAATATATTTTTGGATCCCCATATATGACCCTTTTTCCTTATTCTTTTTTTTTGAGCATAGCTATTTTTACTCTGTTCATGTTTTAAATTATATGTATCTGCTCAAATTTTTTGCGTTTAACGTATATAGTTAGAGTTTGTACATGCATTATTTATAAGTAAAACTTATTATGAGAAACGATTCTTTTGCTAAATTGCATTTAGCACTTTTATAGCCGTTTTATTATTGTAGAAGTGAGAAAATATACGAACTAGATATTTCCATGGTATATACTTTCACTAATATTATTTATTGAGCTAGTTTAAATTTTTTTATACAAAAAATTAAAAAAAAAAAAAAAAGGCGTACATCATTCTTATGGAAATGCTAATAAAAGTGTTTTTACACCTATATAAATAAATCACAACAGATCGCAATAAAAACGCAATAAAACTCATTATTATTTCTACTTTACAAATTTCTACAACAATATTTAAGACATTGAAAGATTTGAAATACATTATGTTAACATATGAATAACAAGAAAATTTTGAAAATTCATCGAATTGATCAAATGTGTACTGAGTCGTTTTTTAAAACTAAATATCATAATGATAAATATTAAATGATCATATGAAATAGACATGTAAAAAGTAACTCCATACATTAATATTTAATATTTGCATGAGAAATATTTACCAACACGTTATGACATTTCGATTTTAAAAAGGTACTGAATATCAAATTAACAGGGAAGAAAATGTTCATTGCTCTAAGAGAGCTTTTACATGATGCACGATGATAAATTAAAAAGGATTTATATTTTTAATATTCTTCATAAGAGAAATATGCCCACCTGTAGGAAGAAATGGTAAATATTGTCTCCCCTTTATAATACATATAGAAATTCCCATAATACAGGGTAAACAAAAATAAGGTTTTTATGAGAAGTCAAAATGATTAAGTTCCAAGAGTGTATGTACATATATATACCTTTAGAATTCAGCGTTTTGAAAAATTGGATTGCTATCATATAAAAAAGAAAAAATGTATATATTAAGTTTGATTACATATATGAGTTTGTAGAAAATGCTACAGCATAATAAAAATTCAATATATAAAATTGCAATAACAAACATGCTATTTGACTTGTTCTATGTTTTTCTTTCCTCATTTCTTTGTCTAATATTTTATATATAATTATTGGATTTTGAAAGAAAAAGTAATGTATAATGATTTGGACGAGTTTATGTTAATAATGATTCTACTTGCAATGAAGTTTATAAATATTTTCTCATTGTGTCTAACTTCGATTTAATTTGTTTGCAACATTCAGTACCTTTCATTATATTATTTAATATAATTCGATTAGTGAATAATTACCACTTCAAAAAGTGCAAAGAGCATAAAACAATGAACGGGTACTTTTGAAGTACTTTATAGGATTATTGTATTTTTTGTAAAGATATATACAATCAAAAACTATGAGTAATATAGCTATTCAACATTATATGAGATATAAAAAATTATGTTTTTTATGTAATTGTGAATCCGTTATATGTGTTAGACAGATTGGCGTAAAACTGTAAATCATACATAAATAATAGGTATGTAATGCTCAGTGTTCTTTAACTTTCTTTTTATTTTAGGTTATTATTTTTATGGGATCTATAATGATTGCTGAATATGTATAATATGCATAGCCCTGAATATTTATGTAATTGCATGATTTTTTGTACTCTCATTATTCATGTTTATGGATATATCTTTTAAGTGTCGAAAACATTAACACATAATTTCCCACAGTTACATTAAAAAATGTATGTGGATATCTTAAATCTAGTACATGTATTGTGTGTTTTGTTGATTATACATCCATTAGTATTTTGGAACAGGAGAAACCATCGTTTTATTTTATTTTTTTTTTTATGATATGATATTTTATACATTAAAATAAATATCTATGTTTTTTTATTACTTTATTTTTTAAAATAACATATTGGATAAATGTTTTTAAGAAATATAATTAAGCGTATGTATGCGATTACATTACAATATAATTTTTCATAAATAATTATTTTTGATACATTTTAGATAAATGGAAATTAATTTATTAGTAAACATATATGAAACAATGTTCTAATAGATGTAAATATATATATGTATATTTTTTTTGATACATATAAATCATTACATGCAGATATTAATTATATAAATAATAATGCATGATTTGATAAAGCTTAGTTTAGTTTTTTTTTTTAAAATAAATATATTTATTTTTTAGGCAATATAATAGTAAATAAATTAAACTCACCTAATTTTAAAATAATATTTATAAATTATTTTAGATAAATTTTTGTAAACAACATGCATTGATATAAAGCAACATTTCCGCAAAAAATTATTTAAATAAATTAATATACTTAAGTAATCCAAATATGTGAAACATCTAATTTATATTTTTTTTCTTTTAATGCGCGCTATTTTATAAGGCAGATTTTAGGAAAATTACAGCGATATATATATATTAAAAAATGCGTTGTATGCGCTATATAGTTTCTTGGGGAAAAATAATAAATACTTTGAAAGAAAATTATATGATTCATATTTCATTGTGTATATTTGATGCAATACACGACTGAAAAACCATGTTAAATTGTTGTAAAAGAAATGCTTAAATGTCTTAGAAAAAAAAAAAAAAAAAAAAAAAAAAAAACCTTAAGTATTTTTATTACGAATTTCATTCAGAAGAATTCATAATTTTATTATGAATATAATGTATAATATTTTTGAATTACTGTGAATATATGTAGACTTCTATTTGTTCCCCTTGAAACAGATGAATAGTTAATATACCTATTATATAATTTATAGATTAAGATAATTATAGTTGTATGGATGAAGAAAATAATTATTGTTTAATTTTTAAAAATGTGTAATTAAACATAATTTCATAATTTTAGATGATTAATTTATATATTTTACCAGACGCATTTAAGAAAACCAATTAGGTATTTAATTGAGGTTCTCGTTAAGCGTACTTAGGTATTTTATCTAACAGAATATATTTGTCAATGTTTTTTTGTTTTTAACTACATTTTGAACATAATATATTGCCTTTTTATAATGTTTTCTTACATAAGAGATGAGGATTATAATAAAATTATAAACCTTATTGTTAATGAAACAAGACACATTTAGTATTTTTAATCAGTAACAAAATCATTATATAAAGGAAATCTATCATTATGAGAATAAATGGGACAATTATTTTCGCTAAATATTTTACCTTTTTCATATCATTATGCTTGATTTGTTATAGCAATGTGGTAAGAAAATTATTTTAAAGTGGATGTATTTTAACAGATTTCTTATTTTTAGAAAATTACGACAGATTATATTACTATGTACATTATCAAATAGTAACACACATTTTTTTTCTCTGTAGTTTTGGATTAGTGAAATATTGAATAATACATATAAAATAGAGGGAATAATAAGAATAATAAATGAGGGATTATTCAAAAAATACGAACATCAGAAACGACTAGAACATAGATCATTGAGTGAATTTTATTCAATGCATAAAAAGAATACAAAAACAACAAAAAAAAAAAATAATATAAAATACAAACCATCATTTGCATACTCAAGATTAGAGGGGTTCCGCGAATTGGATGAATATAAAATATCCTATGCGTACAGATATTCTAATAAAAAAGGGTTAGCAAAATGGGACTGTTATTGTGAAAAAAAAATATTTAATATATTAGATAGCATGAATGATACTACAGCAAAAAGTCATAATAGTAAGAGTAAAAATTTTAAAAGATTAGTAAATAAGGTACTCGTATGTCTAGCTATTATTCCTTGTGTACTTCCATTATTTGGATTAATTCTTCCGGTATTAGATATGATTAAGCATAGCGATAGTTGTAATAGTAGTCTTTTGAGAAATATAGAAATAACAAAAACTAGATATATAGTATATTGTGTATTATTTTTAATAATGACTTATATAATTGTGGTAACCATTATATACGTAGTGACAAAAATTGTAAAATATGAAAGTTTAAAAAATAATAAAGGCAAAATGAATTTTAAAAAATATTGTATCTTCTGTAGAGAGTTGATTTTAAATAAATAATATAATAAAAAATTATATGGACACAACATTTTTGACATGAAACCAAGAATCATTAATTTATTATAGACAGTATATAATTAAAAAACTTTATAAATCACTGAAAAGTACATAATTTTTTTTTTTTTTTTTTTTGTACTTATTAATTGTTCTTATATATCCCTGAAATGTTTTTACAATGTAAATTAGTTTTATAGATTAAAATGTATAATATATGTATTTTTTTACTTTATTTAAATGTTTATTTAATGATCATGCAGGGCTTAGGTTTAGTGTTCAGTCAAAGAAATTAGGATTTAGGCTTAGGGGCTTGTGCTTTAAACTTAGGATTTTTGGAATTTGGGAAGAGGGAGTAATAATATATTTATATAAGAATGAGAATGATTGTATGTTATTAAATGCTATTATTATAGTGTACATTTAGGGTTCAGGGGTTAGACATATAATATAGTGAATTGTTTAATACAATCCATCTATAAACGTGTACAGTGATGAACTGTAATCATACATTATGGATGTTTAAATATATGTTATTTGTTTTTAATAAGCATACTTTATGATGAAATGTTTATCGTATAATAAAAGCTCACTTATAAAAAAAAAAAAAAAAAAAAAAAATATTTGAAACTTTTTATATCCATAAATTCGAATTTATTATAAATATCATCATTATCAACTATACATTTTTTGTTTGCAAATGTATGTTACATTGCTTATTTTTTATCTTGTGATAAATCAAGTTACCTAATTAATAAAACCTTGCGTATTGTGAATTACAATTTTAATAGTATAATGACTATATTTTATTAATTTTTTTTTTTTTTTTTTTGTTATTTCTGTTAAAATTATTCTTGCGTCTTATTTTCAATCTTTTATTTGAATTCATAATTAAACAACGCCATATATATTTAACTTATTAATTATAAAATAATTATTACACGAAAAATATTATTCATATTTTGGGATGTATAATAAAACTTAGAGTTATGCTATATTTATTCCTACCTGATTTGAATTAACCATTTAAAAATTAATTTCCATCATATAGGTACAAAAAAAATATATATACATATATATTACACATGAAACCATAATAATTTAATATAAATTTTATTTGACTTTATGATGATAATTTTTTTCAAAAATAATAATTTGTACATTAATTTGAAAAATACCTTGTAACCTTTTTTAGATATTTACAAAACTCTCATTTTTACATTATATAAATATCACAAAAAAATAGTGACCATTATTTATTTTATAATTTACACGACAGTGTGTTATAGAATTCATAACATTTCTAGTGAGAGAATTATCAGTTTTAAGTTTATCCTATTGTTATTAATTCCTTCTTTTTTTCTGTCTTTATAATAATATTAAAACATTCAGTATTATTTTCATATTTTCATTGTATTTCATGGCTATTATAAATTTTTTAGGTTAAAGTTTTTATGAAATAATTAAATTAATTTATCATAGTGTATGAATGCGTTGTTTAAATATGTTCGATCCATTTATCTATAGTACATAGTAAGTACAGGAAAATAATGAGGCTTTAAGATACAGTTTATTTAGACAAGATGTGTGTATATTTTTATACAGTGAAAAGTGTACTCGAAATAGGGGAATTAAAAAAAAAAAAAAAAAAGGCAAAAACACTTGTAATTATATTATCTAATGATTGCTGTAATAATATGAGAAAAAGAAAAATTTTTTAGATGATTTAATACGAATTACATCCCTTAGTAGAATTACATATAGGACTTGGCATTTGTTATTATAAATATGACGCTTTTAAAAGAAGCTCAATGTAGATATTAGATTATTTAGTTTCTCATCATATATTACAATATCTTTACTGTTTTCTCATATTTTGGGAGGAAAATACTTACAGAATTTGAAATGTCATTTATGGAACCCATTATATTGTCTTTTTAAAATTTGTACAAAATTTTTTTTTTTTTTTCATCTATCCAGTGACTAAAATTTGAGATAAAAATGTAATAAAGATAAATGTATAGTTGTAAAAGTGAAAGAATTATGCTTTAATAGATTATTAAAAGATATATCATTATTTATGGAAAATAATATACATTTTTTTAAAAAGGTAATTTTATAAAAGCTTAACAAAAAGAACAAGGTCAGAAATAATGTGATTTTTGTGCTCATAGACGTCTTTGTAATACAGGATATATGAACTATGCTTTCGTTTGATTTAACTCGTTTTTGAAAATTAAATATGACATCTTTTTGATTTATATATGTATTTTTATAAAAATGTCTTTAAAGTTTTACCTTCGTTTATAATGTACAGATGTAATTTAGATTTATATTTTTAGCAATATATAAAATAATTGCACGAACATTAATCAGACGTAGAACACTTTGAACAAGTGCTTTTACATAGAACTTTAAGCTTTTTGTAGTAATTCATAATATATTACTCCTCAAAATGTGACATAGCACTATATTCATAATTATAATTTGAATATTTTTAAAATGTATTAACATTTACAATGCGCAATAAAAAAATTTACATGAATTTCTTAGCCATATATTTACTATATTTATTCATAATATGAGTAAGAATTTTTAATAAAACCTTTATGTTTATTAATTTTTGATAAAGAAGCAAATTACACATATGTTTAAAAAAAAACATCTTAAATGTTTTTTTTTTTTTTTTTTTTTTTGCTAGACTTGTGTGTAAAGAATAAAATAAAAATTAATATAATATAGAAGTTCACTATTTATTAACTTGGCTCCAAGGGGGAAATCACGTTTTAAAAAAAATTTATTAGTTGAAGAATATGCTATATAAATAGAATTACATATATTTATAGAACAGATTTAAATAATTGTATATAAATATTTGGACTTCATATGATTCATAACTTCATGTACACGTCTTAATATACGATAATTATAATTTATAAAAAGACGTAGGACTTCGATATATACATTTAATGAATTATACTGAAAGGTTAGTATGTTACATAAATAAAAACACTGTAAATACGCAATATTTATTACATACATATATATTTAAAAAAGTATATTAATCAAAAGATAAGTATTATATGTACTGCTTTATAGAAATTTTTGACTGCCTCCCAAAGCTATTAAATACATAATACAAAATAATTGCCATTTAGAGGCTTGGAATTATTTATAAATACATTTAAATGTACACATGTATAATCATTTAAAATATATATAAATGACGTTTTTAATAAAATATGACTACTTACTATTTTTTTGTAAGTATAAATAAATAAGAATGCCGATAACAGAGAAATTACTAATGAAAAATAAAGAAATTTGAATTTCTCAAAAAATGGCCTATAACATTTTAAGATCCTATAAAAATATTAATAAAATGTAAGTCCAATATAGTAAACATAATTCTAAATATGGGAATGAAGTAAGTTTTTAGGGAAATGTGCTTTTCTTCCTTGATGTGATGGAATTTGCTATGATTATTGAATGTTTTATTCCAGAGTAAAAGATTATTTTATCACATATATACATTTTTCATAAATTACGGTACATATGGAACAATTATTTTTTGAATTTATTTACATGGATATACTCATTTACGATTTAGGTGAATTTGCTATTTCATTATTGTGTTGACTTGGCATATATATGTTGACCTTATAATTTGAATTATATTTTTTTGAACTCTGTAATATTTCACATTATGTATACATATAGACAATATGCAACTGTTTTAAGATGAATGTATTATACACTTATATTGGTTCAGAAAAAATTGCATACTAATGATATTCTAAAGATAATTTAATATATCAACAGTATGATGATCAATCATTTTGAAAAAATCACTATTTATCAAATTAAGACTTATTAAAAATAAATATAAATAAATAATTGTTACACAGAGGGGGTGTTATCATAGAATACACACAATGTAACAAATTATGAGAATTTTGTAAAAGATGAGGCATTTATAACTACATCGCGTAAATTTTTATAGCTCACTCGAACATATTAAGACAGGTAAAGTTTAGTGTAAAAAATGGTTCAGTGCTGTCTAAATTAAAATGTGCTGCTTGCAATGTTATAAAATATTTTTATTACTAATTATTATTATTTAAAATTATATCAATACATATATTAGTGTAACATTATATAAAATTCACAATAAATTCTTCCAACACAGGGTGTATTTAGAAAAAACTACCATAAATAGGAGACTGGAGAACTATATTTAAAACATTATACATTATATAAGTGTAAATTACGCTTCGACAATAAGAAAACAAATGTCAAATTATATAAAGAGCCACATTCGCTAATAATGGTTTAAAAAATGTTTAAGTGAATACAGAATATATTAAGATAATATGATTATGAAATATTCAATAAATATGAAGTTATACACTAACATTATTTTATATTGTAAATTATTATATGCTGAAAATTATAAAAATACACAATGCATAAGAAAAATAATGCCTTAACGAATATCCTTTTACATTTTATCCAGTCAAAAGCATAACAATTATATATATTGATTCGAATATATAAATAAACTACAAAATACAAAATTAAAATCAAAATACTATGGACAGTAATATATAGCCATATATATAAACAATAAAATAAAACATTAACATGTATTTTACATTTATGTGAAGTAAGCATAATAATGAAAATAATAATATGAATATAATATATCATAACATTATTAATATAATAATAATATATAATAATTATAAAATTATTCATTAAACTACACATATAGTATAACAATAAAATAAAAGCTAAACCTGAGCAATAAAACTCGTAAGCTAAAAAATGAGTAATAAAGACAGTAAGCTAAAATTTGAGGAATGAAGTCTGTAAGCTAAAATTTGAGCAATAAAATCCATATGCTAAAAAATGAGCATTAACCTCTTTAATCCAAAGCCCTAAATCTTAAAAACTGAACATTAGAAACTCGTTGGTATTATACACCAATCTATATAATAAAACATAAACAAGAATGCTTAACTGTAAAACTTGAATACAAAACTGCAACCCCTAAAACCTAAAGCTATGAAACGTTAATCATTCAAAGCCCTCCCTTTATCTTAAAAAATGAGCACTAAAAAGACTTAGTGCTCAACTCAAAATTTTACAAAATCAAACTCAAAACGAAAATGCTAAACATTAAATTTTGCGTACTAAAGGATAATTATCCCTAAAATCAAAACATAAAAAAAAAAAAAAAAAAAACGATAGGAAAATATAAAAGGACACATAATATATATTATAAAATGCAAAATGAATTAAAAAAAAAAAGTTAAAATTCAATAAATAACGAACAAAAATCATAACTATAAAACACTTTTTTGAATTTAGTAAATAAATGTCTAATTTTAAACAATTCATGAAAACAATTGGGAAAAATATAATAAATAAATGTATAAATTAGAGAGGATAAGAAAAAAAGTACAGGAAATTTAGGAAATAAAAATTAACTATAATCTCTTAAAAGTTAAAACCTTTTTCCTTTTTTTTTTTTTATTAGAGCTTGCAATACACTATTTTTTTTTATCAATTATTAATAGCTTTAATTGACTAATAATATATTAAAGGAATACTGAAGAAATATAAAATATTTTATATATTTCTACTACCATAATAAACTCTGTTTTTATTACGTTAATGTAGATACTAAAAAAAAAGTGCAATAAATTTTTACTAACAAAAAACCTAAATTATATATGAAAAAAATAAATAAAAACGATGCTAAAAATAAAGAAAAATAGAAGCACGAATATTCTTATAATATAATATTTTCACATAAGAATAAAATTATAAATATAAAAATAAATAAATGAAATAGAAATAAAATAATTAATCTAGATATTTACAAATGTAAAATTAATGTCGATGATATCACTAAATTTTTAAATTGGTTCAAATTCCTTATTTAATTATATAATTTTTTAATAATATCTTAAAATAAAAATATAAGCTTAAAAAAGGGAAAATTGTAAACTAATTGAAAAATATGCATGATTCTCTTTAAAAAATGATTGTATTTTAATATATAAAATAAATGTGTATGCTTAAAAATACCGAAATATTTGCATTAAAACATTAATAAAATTATTTTTTAAAAAATTTTAAAATTTTAATTATAGTTCTCAATCTTTAGAATTAATAATTATATTTAAGATATATTTATTTTACATTCTTTCCGCAAAAAAAAACAAATTAAAATTGTTAAGTTCAAAAAAATTATAATCTTTATTTCCAATAATTAATTTCGTTTTCATTATTTATTATTTTTTATAACCCGTAACCTTTTTTCTTCGCATTTATTATGTTTTACTATTTTTGTTTTTTCGAAAAACCAATTTTCAATTAAAATATCAAATTAAAATATATGTTATTTTATATCAAAACCTAATTTCAATAGAAACACAACTGCATAAAATAAAAATTAATAAGTTTTGTTAAAAATGAACGCAAAAATACTTTCACCGTTATTTTTCATTGTTTTAATTGAAGTTTTGTTGAGCCAACGATGTTCTGGCAATCCTGTACATAAGCATTCAATTTCATAATAATATATTCCATTATTTATATAATTTAATTAGTTATTAAATTCATATGATCATAATTCAATTATATATCTTTTTAATTTTTGCTTAGAAATGGATGGAACATTTCAAATATGAGGATAATTATTACAACAATCAAACATTAGAAGCAATACATAAGCGATTACCACTAAGAGTATATTTTGACCAGGTTAATGAAAACCATCAATATAGAAATCGCTTATGGAGGGATTGGTTTAATACACATAAAGAGAAAATTACAGCTGATTTAAATAATGTAGCGGAAAAATCTATTCAAAATTTGGAAAAGGGTTGGGAAGATTTTGTGAAAGAAACTGAACATAATAAATGGTTGCATTATAATGATGACATGAAAAAGGAATATAAATGTACCGTGTATCCACAAGCATTAAAATGGGGTGTAACGCGTTGGATAAGCTGGTTTAAAGATAAAGGATTGGTTTGCTTAAAACAAGATTTGCATAAATTTTTGTCCAAATGTAGAAAGGAACACCAGCTTGAAATGAAGGTAGTATTGCAAAAATGGCATAAAGTTTATTTAAATGAATGGTGTAATCAACCATGGAAACTCCGTGAAAATTATCATTGCAAAAAATGGGAAAAATTCGGTTTAATGGGTGATCCATACTATAATGTAAAATCATATCAATGGAACAGTTGGATGGAAAGAACAAAATGTGAACATAAACAATGGGTAGATAATCTTAGAGATCTAGAAAAAAATTGCCCCACGTGGAATGAATGGAAAAAGGGAAAATGCTATTTTTATAAGTCTTGGTTAAAAGAGTTCACTAAACAGTGGATAGCCAATGAACAATGGAATACATGGACTGAAGAAAGAAAAAAACATATTTTATCTCAAGCGGGAAAAACAAAACCAGCGCAAAAGAAAACTGTCCAAAAGAAATAATGATAAATAAATTTTATACTTGATTAAAGGTAAATAATTCTTTTACGTATTACTTATTTATGATATCACATTTTACACATTTTCTAAAAAATAAGAAGTATATAAATGAACAAGTTGTTTATCCATTATTATTTTATTTACAATACGTAAAATTTTGGGTATATAAGAACTTAAATAAATTCATAATATAATATTTTATTTGCTCATAATAATGCATTTATATTTGTCTGATTCATGCATTCATATGTGAATTTTATTTTTAATATATTGTACAGAATATATATGTGTATGAATTTTGTCCAACGTACTATAAATCATATTTTGTTTTTCCCTTTTTTTATTTGAATGTTGCACTATCTTTTTGAAAAATATGTTATAGTGTGTTATCGTAAAATTTATACTATGTGCAAAAACCATATACCATATGTCTTAGCTGTACTCGAAATTTGTTCTTTAATTTTTGTGTGTTTAGTTATTAAAACTTATCATTAGAATGTTCTATAGCTAAGGTTTTTTTTATGTCAATTTGAAACTCTCATTTTTTAAATTAGCATTTTAGATTACATAATATATAGTTATTGTTCTCCTTAAAATTAGGAGAATGTTATAGCTACATACGCACAGAAAAAAATACCACTCTGCTTTTTTAATGTCGGTTGTGTTGAAATTGTGCAAATGGCCATAATTTTCAATTAGATTATTCGTTTATACGCGTTAATTTTTTTTAATTTAATATTTATCATCAGCACCTAATTATCGCAAGAATAGTGATAATATGCCTGTGTATAACATTATTTTTATATCGTTCTAATACACAATCAAATTTTTAGTTTAAACGCACTGATCTTATCCCTGTAAATGGCCATTACTCGGACGAATTAAGTTTTTTAATTATATTTTTTTTTATTAATTTTGTTATGGTACTAAGATTTTTCGTCTCCAACTACATTTTCTTGTGGAACAGAATGTAAGAAATAGGGGGATTTCTCATATTAATTTTGATTTTCTAAGAATTTAAGTAATTTTTCTGAATAAAATTTTAATTTTTTCATTGTATGAAAAAAAAAAAAAAATTAACATGGTTCATGTTTTTTCATTACACCTTTAAGGATTTTTTTATATAAAAATGATAATTATGAATGTGCATATTCCTAAACATGTTTGTAATTATTTTATTTATTCTTTATTTATTTAAATTAATTGAGGCCAATGAAAAACAAGCTTGTTACATTAATAATTTTTAGGGATTAATCAGTAACATAAACATTAAAAATCAAATAATTATTATATATTAGGTTGAATTGTCAAACTGTGAAATTTCTCCCTATGCCTGTTTATACTTGAACAATTTCTTTTCAGTATGAGTTCACAATTTCATCTGACAACATTCATCATCACGAAGGCGTTATTATTTATCATATAGTACACAATTAGAAAAAATAATTTTATTTTTAACTGAAACTAGTTTTCTTTTGCTTATTATGTTATACTTTAAAATTTCATTAAGCAAAGCTATACATAAATGATACTAAGGATTGCCGAAAGAACATTTTTAACATAACGAAATAAATAGAAATAATTATATTATAAAAAAAAATTCATTCTTTTAAAAACTTTCTAAAAATAAGAACCCAGGTTTTTAGGAAAACAATAATTTTTATCACATATAGACTAATGTTATTACACTACCTTAATTTTATAAAGAACCTATTTGTAATCAGCATATAATATTACAGTGCCCATAGAATGATAAAAAATCCTTAAAAAAAAAAAAATATATTTTTATTTTTATTACGCTTAAATTTATAAACAGGAATACAGATAAACTAATAACCATGTCTATCGATAAAATTGAATCATAAATTTATAGTAATCTAAGACTGAAATGACATAACTGTTCATCACATGAGAGAAAATATATATCTTTGATTCATATCTTTTACTTGCTAAAAGGTAAAGGAGTGAAGTACTAAAATGAGAAACTATAAGTGTGTTTTAAAGCTATGCTTTTTTTTTTTTTTACAACAATTTGTTTTCAATGTCACTCTAACTTTGCCTAAATAACATACATAATGTACCTAGAAATAATCATGGTGACTATCTAATTAAAATTAAAAAGTTCCTAAAGAAGTTGATGTATTAGAACTAATAAAATATTTATAATTTATTATAAAATAACAAAAGAACTATATATAGTTATCAAATGTTTATTATGAAATTTCTGAAAAATAAAGAGCCATCTTTTACATATTTCTTTTGTACAATTAAAATATTTTTTAACAAAATTTATTTTCCTTTTTTAGGAATAGATTATTAAAATGAGAAAAATAATCATAAATTAAATATAAAAAACAGTTGTAGGAACAGCTCATTAAAAATGCAAAATTTGAATTAATATGTGCTTTTACTATTTCAGTTCCATAGAATGTAATATAATTACAAAAAGTAAATTATCGTTATTTTCCACATAATTAAAATGTTATCTATCTTATTTTCCTTAGAGCTTTACAAGAATTATTTTTATACATATATCAATTTATTAATTGTTTTAGGGTTCAGGATTCAGCATTCAGGTTAGGTTTATAACATTTGATTGAAATTATTTGAGCACACAAAAGATGGAAAAACTACCATTTTTATGTGGATTAACTTTTTCTAAAAATTCAAAGCATTTACTTTTTGAAAAAAAAGTATCAGTTGAAATTGAAATAAAATGTGGATAGATAAATTAATAGTATTTTTTTATTTAAACGATGAATTCAAACGGAGGAAAGAATTACCTCGGGGTGCGAAGATCATCGAAAGAATTATTAAATTGTTGTTCCTTGTATTTTTTGTGCAAAGTGTTTTTTATATGACTGATCAACACCTCCTTTTTCTTTTTAGCTTGACATATTTTATATATAAACACAGTACATGCATATAAAATCAAAAGAAACATGAGATACTTGAAAAACAATAATGAAAAAATACAAGAAAACTAAACACATTTGTCACAGCGTTTCCTTTATTTTCTTAATTATTTGTTTCATAAATTTATACGTATTAAACAATTACAACGTTTATGTTAATTAAAACATGTTTTGAAAATGTACATATACAGCATTGCTTCAGTAATACGAAAATGAAATAAATGAATTACTAATATATTATGGAATTTACCTTTTTTAACATTGTGTCAAGTGCCATGGGTCATTATTATCTCATTAAAACTAATCTATATTGATAAATATTTTACACAGTACATGTGTAAAAAGCTTGCATATGCAAGGATCATCAAAAATAAGCCTTTCTGAATTTACAAAAACAGCATAATAATATTAATTTACAGTAAAAATTTTAAATTTTTTTTCACAAAAAACAATAATCGAACTGTAAATGTAATGTAAAACAAAAATTAAACACCATGAGTATATTAAGAGAGAATTATTGCTACATTTCTTTCTATAAATTAAACTTGGAAAAATTAATATAATTAAATAAGATAGATACACAAATATATATTAACTGCATACGCAGGTAAAATACAACACAAGCATATTTAAAATAACAAAAATGCTATAATAATTACGAATCTATTTATTTAGTTCGAACAATAAAACCACTATTAATATATATTTTCTAAATACTACATTTTGTTAGCATTTATAAAGATATTAATA